CCCCAAAACCCCAAAACCCCTTCATTCTAGATTAATAGATTTTAGAGTAAATTTATAACTATAAATATAGTTAGGAATAATTATTTTTAGATTCAGGAAAATGAGCAGAGTTAAAAAGCTAAAGGAGTTAATAACTAATTTGGACAGTTTTGGCCATCCAATTACACTCACATACAAGAATTAGTCTACTTACAAATCTCTATTTGGTGGAATCGTAACTATTTTGATCCAGTTGGTAGTTGGAGGATATTTTATATCACAGTTGGCTGCAGTCTTCAATCGGGATGGTAGTCAAATAACAAGACAAACAAAGATAATGGATCTTGTTTTAAATGATCAGAAGATATAATTAGATAGATCTAATTTTGAGATAGCTTTTAATTTCTGGGATTCTAACTTTGGAATGAACGATTTAGATGTAGTTGCTCAGTATTTATAGATAAGAGCAATAGTATTTGAAATATTGTATGATCCATAAATAGGTATAACACAATAGCAAAGAGCTATAAAATTAGAAAAATGTGGAATAGACAGATTTAATGGAAGATCAGATGTAGTAACAAATCTAGGCATAGTTGATCATCATATATGCTTTTAAAAGGATTTTGATGCCTCTCTTTACGGTTCTACTTATTCTCAGAATGTGAGGTATATTAGTGCAAACATTACAAAATGTTCACAACAGTATTTAGATGAGTATCTGCCTGATAAAAATTTCAAATGCAAATCTGATAAAGAAATAGATGATTTTGCAAATGGAGTAATGTTTGAATTAGTCTACATGTATAACACTTTTGAAGAAAATGATTTTGATTCTCCAATAAAACAGTAAATATCAGCATTCTATTCTGGATTGAATTCAGACAGAAGAGCAATAAGAATTTACTCAGTCTAGAAGAATTTTGCCGAAAGAAGGGATTCATATTTTGCTAATTCATTATCTACTTAGAGAAAAGAATTCTACTAGATTAGATAAGAATTTGATTTCAATACTAAATAAGTTGAAAATTAAGACACATTTCTCGCAATCTAATTCTTTTAATCTAATTAACAAGAAACAATCCAAAGATCCGCCTTTACTTTGATTGATGCAATTACCAATACAGGAGGTCTTGTTAGCATTATATTTCTAGTAACATAGATCTTAATCAAACGAATTTAATAATAACTTTTCTTTCAAAGCCTGATAAACTCTAACTATCTTTTTTATGAAAAAGATAAAGTACAAAAGCCTAATCCTGATTAAAAGATCCCATTAAAATAAGAAACTTCAATCGACTTGAAACCTAGTAAGAAACATAATTAAAATGGTAAATTAAAAAAAGACCTTAACAATATTTTCAATCATTCAGTTTCTGGTGAGACTTTTCAAAACGATATGGGTTGGAGAGACTTTGATGAAGAATCTTGAATAGCAAAAGATAATGATAGATTCTTGTTTAAATCAATCATTAAGTATATTGAGGGACTTAAAAATTTTAATATGAATTACTATAAAACCAAAGCAAGGAATTGCTTGAAATTTCTGAATAAAAATTATTCTAGATTGGAATAAGAATTCAATTAAAATTATGAGATTTTTAAAGTAGGATAGAAAAGATTAGAGTAATAATTTGATATCAATGATCTTTTGAAAAAATTAAGGAATTTAGAGTTGATTAAAAATATTATGATATCTAAATACTAGAGAGAGTTGCTACCCTATCTTTCTTAAAATGTCTTAAATAATTTAGAAAGTCCCTAGCTTAAGTTTTATGAAATATCCCAAAATAAAATTTCAAATAAAGATATCAAAATGTACTTCAAACAAGTGAAGTTACAAAAAGATACAAATAAAATTGATTATAGGATATTTAAGAACTTTGAAAAATCTATAAAGATATTAGATTAGCCTTCAGTTTAAAAGGATTAAAATTAAATTAAATAAAATACAAGTAATACTGAAATATTAGATTTGAAATAAAATAATAAAAAAACTTAAAATATTCAAAAAAGTGTATCTAACTTGCCTGTGAATAATGATAATGAGTTTCTAACGATTTTAGATGATGATACATTTTAGATCTGATTTTATTTAAAACGCTCTTTTTTATTCTACAATTAAATTTCTACAATTTTTATTAAAATTAACATATTAATGACTATCATTATCTTTGGGGTTTTGGGGTTTTGGGGTTTTGGGGTTTTGGGG